AAATAATCATCCAGTCCTATAGACTTGAATTTGCATGACATGTGGAAGAGACACTTAAGTGGTAGATATGGCTGGCTGGAGATAGAACTTAATAGGACTGCATGGAGGGAAAACCGGTGGGAGCAGGAGGAGGAAGGGGTCCGGGATGGGTGTCCCAGGCTTTTAACCTGGGTGTGCCTCATGTCCTGTTAGAATAATAATAACCTCTTAACCTTTTGTCAATTACATCAAGGTGCTTGCTTGGAATTTAGTCAGAGAGCCCAACCAGAACTGGTCACAAGGCTGTGGTGGAGTGGGAGTGCAGCCTGACTGCTTGTGGAGAAGCCTCGCAGGCTTCCTGGGGAACTGATATTATAGCCAGGCCTTGGAGAAAGGTGGATGGAGGGGAGAAATGTGAGTGGGAATGAAGGTGTATCAGGTCAAGAAAAACCCACATGATGGCACATGGGAAACAACTGAGAGTGGCTGGAGCAAAAATTGGTGTTCATTGTGGTCGGTGTGCATGAGGGTGTCAGGGGCGGGAGCAGGCAGACAGGGAGCCTGTGAAGGAAGGCCGGGACAGTTTAGTACCCAAGCTTGGAGTAGAGACTATGCCCTAGGAGGTAAAGAGAAGATAGAGGGCGTTTTTGTTTTGCTTTGTTTGAGACAGAGTTTCACCCTTGTTGTCCAGGTTGGAGTGCAATGGCGTGATCTCGGCTTACTGCAACCTCCACCTCCCAGGTTCAAGCTATTCTCCTGCCTCAGTCTCCTGAGTAGCTGGGATTACAGGCACCTGCCACCACGCCCAGCTAATGTTTTGTATTTTTAGTAGACGTGGGGTTTCACTACGTTGGCCAGGCTGGTGTTGAACTCCTGACCTCAGGTGATCCTTGGCTTCCCAAACTGCTGGGATTACAGGCGTGAGCCACCATGTCCAGCTGAAGATAGAGGTTTTAAGCATGATAATCACATGATTAGACCTGTACCTAAGAATCATTCCTCTGCTTCAAAAACATAATGCTTGAAATTGGAGTATACTTTTTAAAACAGATTGAGAATACACAGTTGAACAAAAAGGAATAAGAAATGCCAGTGACCTGTTGATTATCTGTCGTCTTGCCATCTTGGAGGGCTGGAGGGTTGGGATTTTGTGTGTGGTGCCATCAGCCTGCAGGATATGTGGCTGCCCCTTGGCATCAGCTGGTCTGGGGTGGATTTAGGGCTCACTGGCCAATGAGAAGGCTGATGGGACCTGCCTCTCAGACTAAATTGCTGTGTCACCCCAGTTGACGAATATCAGTGACACTGGGCATAGAAATCCCATCAAGACACCTTCATTGGATTTCACTCTTCATTGACTCAAGAAAGAAATATCTCAAGTTTAAAAATCTTAGTCTCTTGCCTTGACTGCGCTAGTTATTTTTTATGATTTGCACTGAATTGTGGGATTAAAATATACAATAGTCAAGGAAGTTCTGCCTCCTTGGGCTCACATATATTTGTATATAACTTTACATAATTTGCCTCTGGAAAGAGACTTCAGAATCATGTGCCATCTCCACTTACCTTGTGGAGGTAAGCAACAGCTGAGTTTGCCTTCATCTAACAGGTATTCTTGTTTCATTAGAATTGAGAGCATTCAGGTCAAGCACAGTGGTTCACGCCTGTAATCCCAGCACTTTGGGAGGCCGAATTGGGCAGATCACAAGGTCAAGAGATGGGGACCATCCTGGTCAGCATGGTGAAACCTTGTCTCTACTAAAAATACAAAAATTAGCTGGGTGTGGTGGGGCATGCCTGTAGGCCCAGCTACCCAGGTGGCTGAGGCAGGAGAATTGCTTGAACCCGGGAAGCGGAGGCTGCAGTGAGCCAAGATCATGCCATTGAACTCCACCCTGGTGACAGAGCAAGCCTCCGTCTCAAAAAACAAACAAAAAAAGGAATTGAGAGCATTCAGAATGGCTTGGCCTTTGTACCCAAAGCCCCCAAGGCGTCCCAGGAGAAGTGGTTTTACCTGGGCATGATTCATAACCACCTGATACCAAGTATGTCCAGCTTGCTCCTCTGCAGATATAGAGCCAGGAGCAATATTTCAAAGGAGTATTATTTTCAAAGCTAAAGCCTAGTAATGAAAGTGCAGATGCTAAAACGGGATGAAAATAGTCCCAGATTGATGCGGTGGTTTCCTGAACAACTTCCATTCAGCAAATATAGAAGATGTAACTTTGCCATATTTCCTGGTGACACTGGGAAAGTCACTTCCTCTCTGTGTCTCTGGTTCTTCAGTTAGAAAATAAAGTTGTTGAAGTAGAGTAGTTTTAAGGCATTTTCTGGTTCTGACATTCTGTGACTTTGTGATTAACTGCTGAGTCACCACCGTAGTGGTCACCACATCCCTATGCGACCCCCGCTGCTGCCCCACAGGGATCCTTTAGCATCCAGGGTGCACCAGGCTCTCTGATAGGCACCAATCAGCCTCACCTCTTTGTCTTCCCTTAATGAACTTACTTTAATGGTGAAGTTCAGGTCGAGTGATAGAGATGATTAGTCATTAACTGGTGATTGATAGCTGGTTTCATCTCTTCTTCAAACCTATTGGTTCAGTGTTTACATCCCCCCGACCCCCGCCCCCCCTCCCCCCTGCCTTTGGCTAAGCTCCCTTAGGCTTTTTTCCTCTTGGGCATCATCGTACACCGTTATGTCTGCTCCAGCGAAGCTGCCCACTCTTCGGACTTTATACCCCCTATCTGGGAAATCATAACAAGAATTGCTTCAGCTGTAGACATGCACCCTGGGGACTGACCCAGGATCAGGGCTGCCAGATGCCAGAACTTCTCCCTGCATTTGCTGATTCATTATCAGTGTCAGACAATCTGCTGTGTGAATGATGATAAATGTGTGGTGTTCTGCTGAAGGAATCATGTACCCTAAGATTAACCCCATGCTGACAGCCCACTCATTCACCACAGGGAGTCCTGCCCACCATCCCTCTACCAGTAGCCTAGAACAAATCCTGAAAGAGTGTTTGGTGAAGGATAATAGGAGACCTCATGTCCATGTAAAATATAAATGCAAATAATAGACTTTAAACAATTCCAGAGGACACAGCCAAGGTGAGCAGTAGCTGTGAAAGCAGTGAAGTGTTGGAGAGAAGACCCCAAATGATACAAGTATGGATGCCCTCACACAATTTTCAAGCTGGTAAAATAAGTTGGGCTGACGTGGGCTAAAGAAGAGAGACACATCCCTGGACACTCCCTACAGCTGCATGCATGCTATCCCAAGTCTAGCTATTCATCAGCTCCATGACTTTAGGCAAGACTCTGGCTCTCATTGAGTTTCAGTTTCCCCGACTGGTTAAGACAAGCAAGTTGAACAAGCCAGGTGATTTCAAGGGACACTCATAGGACTTTCTTCTCTGGTTGTTCAGTCACAGGCTCAGCCCTGTGGCCCGTCCAGTCTAGGATCCCTGAGGACGCTGAGTGCTATGCTGTGGGCACCTGCTGATCCTCTCTGATGTCACCCTCAAAGGTTGTTCCCCGAACAAACCTTTTTCCTCGGACCACCTCCCCTAAATTGCTAGAGTAGGTTTGAGGTAGAATAAGAACCAAATTAATGGTGCTCTTTGCTTTACGCATCTTTCTTTTTTGCTCACTTTCCTTCATTTGGAAGAGGGTAGGTTACCCTAGACACCAAACCTGAATTCCTGCAGATTGGTGATTCATTCTATACCTGTTAGAAAATATTTCCTTCTTCTGCTTCCGTGAATTATTTTGAAATGTAAATGCCATTCCAATCCTGGGGACTGAGAATTAGCCACATTTCTATAGCAATGGTAATTTCATCCTCCATACCCCCACCTGTAGGGTCAAGTAATAATTGTAATAATGGCGACCATTTTTACTGCTTCCTATTTTGCGGGCACTCTGCTGAATACTTTAGATACATCAGCTCATTTAATCTTCATAATATCCACTTGAACTCAATTCTGTTTTCCTCCTTTTTACTAATGAGAAAACTGAGATTTGTTTCATTAAGTACCTTGCCAAGGTCACACTGTGAGTGAATGACAGAGCTGAGATTTGAACTTGTACTTTCTGACTCTAGAGCCCAAGCACTAACCATCAGCAGGAAGTCCAGTGCCAAACATTTCAAAGGCACAGTAATTGCCTGATTGATGGGCCGTCTAGAGACGTGTATCCTTCAGCCAGAACTCAGCCCCAGGGCCCTCGGAATTGCTCCAAGCTGTTTGCTGGGAGAGCAGCTTCAGCTATGAAGGAAGGGTGGCTGTAACTGCAGGCCTTTATTTCAGTGGTTTATGATACAGTGATGGGGTTCCTTCCGTGGACATAAGCCATCCTAATAGCGCCATTTATCATTATGACAAAGGTTAGAATGGGGGGAAACTTGAGCTGGAATGAAAGAGTAGAATTCTGATTATTTTAACAGTTGAAAGTGACATCACCTCAGAGCCTCTATCAAATGGCAAATTGGAAGCTGGACTGCAATTGCTTTAAAATATATCCAGAGATAGTTTTCTACAGCTGTGATAAAGTCTTTCAGATGTGTTCAGACATGTGCTTTTGTCTAAAGCACTTATTGAGTTACTTGTGTGTCATCTACACAAAAGGCTGCCTGTGAGCTCCAGGAGAGTCTCAGACTTTGGGGTGCTGTCCCCTGGGCACCACATACAGTATTTTGGTTGATTAAGCCATATTTCCTCACTGTTTTTTTTTTTTCCATGTGTTGTAAAAATCTTTCTATGTCTGTAGTCATGTTTTCAATGGCCACATCCTTTTGCTTAGTCCATCTGGTTTGTTGAACCTATGCTTCTGAGACAACATCCTCTGCCTCCTATCAGTGTTTTGGAGCAAATGGGAGTGCTGGCTAACTCCTGCAGGATCCTTCAGCCTGGCTGGATAGTCTTTTATTTATCTGGCCTTTTATTCTGGGAACCTAGAGGAAAGACCCATAGGGTCTGGAGCTTCAACTAATTTATCCCATTTTTTTCTCCTCTTTAGGCAAAAGAAGGGGAACGTGGCCCATAAACACTGGGTTGGACCTTCGAACCTGGTCAAATGCAAGCCCTGTCCCGTGGCACAGTCATCCATGGTCTGCGGCTCAGACGGCCACTCCTACACATCCAAGGTTGGTTTTCTTGTCTTTTGTCATCAAAAATACTTCATGTCAGCTTGTTCTAACATGTCTCTGTGCCAGAACTGGGGCTTGGGAAGCTTGGTGGGCTCCAGGCCATGACCTTGAGAAGCTGCTGTATGAACAGACTCAGAGATATTCTCTGGCCATGCAGACAAGCTGAATAAAAATGTTCTATCCCGTGTAACTGGGCCGGTTGAGGGGTAAGAAGAAAGGATGGTCTGAGAGTGGTATGTGATCCTGAAATTAATCCAGGCAGGCTTCCTAGAGAAGGTGAGATAGCCAGCTGTTCAAAAGATTCAAGTCATATAGCTCGGCTGATGGGGAGCAAACCAGTAAGGGAGGCTCAGGATGCTGCCTTGTGCCAGTGCAGCAGAAGGAAGGGATTTGATGTCAGTGTACACTTAATCCACACTTGTTGCATATCTAGAATGCATCTGGCCCTGCACAGGCTCCAAATGAGGCATTGTTCTTTTCTCGGGGAGGGGGGGGCGTTCCTCAGCGACTTACAGACTGATAGGGGTAGGGACAAGTATGTAACAGGTCATTTTAACTCAAACCAACAAAAAGAAAATTGTTTCATAGAAAAAGGGGCTGGGATAAAATATGTCTATTTATATTTATTGGAGGGATGAGGAAAGGCTTTGTTTTTATTGGGAGGATGAGGAAAAGCCTCTTCTAGGGGAGAATTTCACCTAAGCTCTAATAATAAGATTTACAGGCAGGGAGGCAGGGGTTATGGAATTAGAGAAAGGAGGTGATAATTTGTTCTTGGAATGCTTCTTGGGTGAGATGTGGCCATTTGTGTTTGAGAATGGGTACATTTCACCGGGATGATGAACTAAAGGGACATCATCAAATTGATGCGAGTTTGCTTCTTTATTTTCATATCCGACAACCACCCCCTGAGGGTCTAACACTGTGCTAGGTACAAAGGAGCCAGCGTATAGGTATGCGTGTCAGAGTTTTCTGTAAGACACAGGGGTGGAATAGAGCTCTGGCCCTCCCCGTCTCCTCCAGCCAGAGCTGCGCTGTTTTCATCTGTCTTCCTGTTTTTCTGTGTAAGGTTAACTTGCAGAGTGGAGTTCATGACTAAAGAGAGTTGCTATAGGGGACATTGTGGTCACTCCTGGCCACACCACCACATGGTTCTCAGGCCTTTCTGCAGGGACCTCCTCCTTGTTATGCTCCTACTGCACAGAAAATCGGCGACTTCTGTTCTCTATGATCCCCTCACCACCCTGACTCTTACACCATGGAGATGTCACAGACCCACAATGACTCTCACTGCTTGCTGTTCTCAGAGACTTATCGGGGTTATTTGGAGGCTGTGACCACTTTTCCATACTGATTTTGTGATGCATGGGTTGTATATTCTTATGTTTTTGTCCGCTAATCGTTTTATGCTCCCAGATGTTCACAGTTTTCTAACAAAGGAGAAGAAAAATGTGTTTCTCACAAACAGGAAGGTACTTATGCCTGGCTTGTACTCAGATCCATGCGATCTGCTTTAGGATTCAGTAGCATATTCATTGCTTGACTGGTTCCTTGGTTCACTCAACAGGCATCATTTGAGCCATTTCTAGTGCCAGGCCCTGTGCTAGGTGGTGAGGAAATTTATAATATAGTGGGAATAGAAGAGTTGACTCTTCTTTATGGCCAGACTCAGGAATCCTTAACTCTCTAACTCCAGGCCTGTCCTGTGAGTTAGAAATTCTTTGTCCAAGATTGTAGCTGGTATGTCTTTCTCAATAGCCATAGCCCATCTCACCTCAACCAAACCCACACTTCCCTGTCCCCTTACTCTTTTTAGCCCCTAATAAACATTTGTGACTGTTTGTAGTAACAGGACTTGCTTTTGACACCCTAGCTATGTCTGGAATGGTAGATTTAAAGGGGACACTGATGAGTCATTTCTATCCCCCATTCCCAAAGGCAATCAGGCCATCACTGACTTTCACTTACATCCTAGGTGTGTGAATAATCACCTGGAGAAGCTGTTAAAATGCAGACTCTGAGATGGCAGGGGCTGACATTCTGCGCTTCTAGCAGTTTCCCAGGCGATGGCCAAGCTTCCGGTCCACAGACCACACTTTCAGTAGCGAGGGTATCAGTGTTTATAGGAAGCTTCTAATAGGTCTCCCTGCCTCCAGTCTGCCCCTTTGGCTACCCCAAAGTCCACTTCCACATATCAGAAGAGGGGGAAATTCTGTAATAAAAGTCTGTGTCTTCTCTGCTAAAAATGCTTGCCTAGCTCTCCCTTGCCACTAGAACTGAGCTCAGCCTCAGGCTCTGTCATTACTAACAGGACCCTCCAGAGCCTGCCCGCTCCTGCTCCAGGTCACTTACCATAGAAAGAATCTTTCATTCATTTGTTCAGCAACTTTACTTAACACAGTACTGAACACAAATGCAGTTGTTCTACGCACCATGCAAAACATGGGGTGGGGGCAGTGGGGAATAAGACATACACCATTCCTGCTCATCTGGAGGTTACCGTCTGGTAGGGGGCACAGAAATAGGCAACTGGGCAAATCAATATGTAACTTCAAATTTTAGTAATTGCTGCGAAGCATAGTTCTGAGAGAGAGGGTTGGAGAGAGGCCTGCTTTATAGGACATGGTGATTCAGGAAGGTGTCTCTCAGGGGGTGTCCTTTAAACTGAGAGTGGAGGAGTGGAATGTTCCAGATAGAGAAAACAGCATGGGCCAGTGCAGTAAGGCAGTGTGATGTGTCTGAAGAACTGTGAGGACGCCCCTGTGGAGAGACATGAGATGAGGAAGAGGGAGGATGTCAAAACCATCTAAGCAGGGACACTTAGCCTGAAAGGTGAGAAGACGATCCGGCAATGCCGGCCTTGAGGGACACTCAGTATTGCAGTTGCCTTAAGAATATGAGATCCCAGAGGCAGAGACCGTTTATAGTGGCTGCTCAGGCATGGGGTACAGTGCATAGTGGCTGCTCAGAAAATATCGTTACAGAGAGAGGAGCCAGCAAAGAGTCTAGCTGACAAAGAATGGGGAGATTCCAGTCTGCATGACCCACCTCGGATTTGAGTCAGTGGGGTGGAGAGAGCTTTGCAATTGGAAAAAAAACAAGTCATCCCCATCCTGGGCCAAGCTGCTTAGCTGAACACCCAACCTGGGGCTCTGGCAGAGACTTAGCCACTCCTTGCAATGTTTTTGTCTTTGTGAAGATCCTGTTTGTGTTGTTCAGATTATTCCTTCCAGCTCTGGAGCAGACGGTCTGATCCTCAGTCTGAGACTGGACATGAGCCATGAGATGTCAGTGAGTACTAAGGACTGTTTGGGCAAGTGGCATATTGTACATCAAACCCCAGCAAAAACCTGCTCACTCACCTCTGTCTCTCATTTGCAGAAGGAGCTTAACATGCCAGCTCCCTGTGAACCTTGAGGTGCAAAGAGCAGTGGTAACCTGTCAGACATTGTTGAAATGCTGTCTGCCCAGGGAATATCTCTGGAAATGTTCACTGGTCAAAGCCTGTTGGTAGTCTGGGCAGGAAAGTTGACTTTTTGGATACATTAAGGTTGCCTTACTGTTAATTGGTAAATAGCTGGTTTGAGAGTCAGGATTAGGATTGTGAAGACCCCTTTCCAGTGACTCATAATTCGTCATAAGAGGAGTGCCATGTGCATACTGATGGGCCTGGCCCTCAGAACTTTCCGAGCAGCATCCTGATGTTCCTTTAGTGTCTTTGAATTCCTGCACCAGCCTGACCAAGTTCTCAGTTTCCCAGACCTGCCAAACCCTTTTCCTGAGGCAGAAGAAGTTGTCTAAAGCCCTCTTACCAAAGGTTGTAGTATTCTACTCCCATATTCCATATAGGATATACTGAAGCCCCAAAAGACAAGAGCAGTGGTAATTTCACACCATGGTCTCCTGCCTGGGTATCTGTGACCTACTCACTTCTATTTGAAGTTAAAGAGTGGTGGGAGGGACACCGCTGCAGTGGAATGGCATGGGCGTTGATTCTTGATACTAGTGTGCTAGTTTTCTGCCTTATGTGCACATCTAGAAGTTTGTGCTCTCTCTTTCTTAACATAGTGGGCCAAATATTACTTAATCGGAAACTGTGCTTTGATTGCTCAAGACTTCTGAAGCAGAGGTCAATTCTAGACCCCTGTGGCATTCAAGGAGACTTCCTTCTGAGGGGCCTATTTCAGTCTGGTTGGATTTGCTAATGGAGTGTTTTAGTCATTGCTCCTAAATACATGGCCGCTTCTTTATGGAGGTTCAAAAAGATGATTTAGTCTCACAGACAAAGCTATTGGAGACCACCAGTAGATGTTCAATTAATAAGACTGAATTAGTTACTTGTAAAGGAGCAAATGACTTCCCATCCCATGGAGTTAGAGCCTTTTTTGGATCATCGGTGTCAGGATACAAAGGACAGATGAGACCATGATGCCTGTGTAGCTGGAGGTGATTCAGTGTCATTAAGTCAAACTCAAAAAAATTAGTTTTGGCAAAAATTTATTACTGCCCCCATCCCATCATCACCAGGGAAACCCATACTCCGTAATAAATAATCACAGTTCTCTAGGTGAATTGTTTACCCCTTCAAGATGGGTTCCATTGTTGTGAAAGCATCGCTGTGGCAGGTGGAGGAAGAAGCCTGAGCATCCTCTGTCCTTGATGCTGGTGTCTGTCCTCAGGTTGCATCAAACAAGCTTTCCTTCTGCTTCTGGGCCCCCAACAGTCAGAGGCTTCTAGAAGTGGGGGATGCATTGAGGAGTCTTTGTCTACAGCAGGCCTCTTCTAATGCCCCGATAGCAGGGACACCACTGAGAGCTGTGTGACTCCCCCAGGATCAAAGATAAAGTGCACAGGAAGGCATAGAGCCTTGAGATGAAGGGATATAAGATGTTACATGGCAATAAATGTTTATTCAGACACTATAAAGCATAATCCATATAAGATAAGGAACAGAAGGGCACTACAGGGCATTGACAAATGGAAGGCCGAACAGTGCA